CGTGTAGGATTTGCCGGAAACGATGATTAACTCGCGTCACCTATCGCCTTTAACCCTCGACGTCACCCCGTTATTCTTCCTAGGTGCTCGTCGGGGTACGAATTCCCGGTAAATTCGGGATAACGCGGATCGGGGCAGGAAGACCAAACGCGAACCGACGTTGTCCGCCTCGAAGAGAAACGTGGGAGTCGGTGGTTCCCAAGGGCTCCGATCGAAAAAGGAACAACGATGACGAGGAGTCGACCTGTCGAAGGAATGTACCGACGTGTACGGTGCACCGGTCGACGGCCGACGGTGCATGGTCATGCATTAAAATGTGACGGGAGGAACGCGGTGAAAATTCAGATGGCAACCGAAATACCGATGGCCCGGCATCGTTCTTCCGTTCGACGAATTTGGCTCCGTGACGTCAGATATCGGCCGCGATCTCGACGATCGTCGCGATATCGGGAACGGAGATCGTCACCGCGTTTGCGATGCAAATAACGCGTATACATATTTATGCCACGCCGGCGTTGATATTCCTTTGACAGCGATACCGTCGACTCGTCGCGTCTTTTTCCTAATTACGACCTCTTTATCTTATCCGTTCCCAACGTCGGATCGTGTGGGTCACGGGGCTTCCTCCCAACCGGGGTCTCCAGAAGCTTCTATTTAACATCTCGCAAGGTTGGACACGCGTTTGGGATTGTGTGTAACGGGGAAACGGTAAAGTGGCTGTTAGGAGAAATAGAATCAGCTGGATCGGTACCGTCGAGCTTCATTTGTCACGTCGCGTCATTTCCGCGTTGCGAAACCCGTGTAACGACTTCTGCGGCGGGACGAGTCGCGGTGCGGAGGACAACGGATGGATCGATCGGTATGCTTATCCCGCGATCATTTTCTACGAATCGTGGCTGAACGTCGACGAGAAATCGCGCGGGGATCTGTCGAAGGCGTTGTCGCGCCCACGCACCCCGAATAGCGAAAATCCGCAGGCTGCGCGAGATCGATCTCGAACAACCTTGCAAATGTACGTCGTTGATGATGCAAGCTCACGTGAAAACGCGAAACGAACCACGGCGAGCCCCGTGCCGTTCGCTGGCAAACGCGCGTATTACGTCTCACGTCGAGCATCGATTTTCTCTCGATTTCAACAATCGGGGGCTTGATTCGGCAAGGGGTGCAGCGTAACGGAAGATCAAAAGTCTGGCTACCTTCGGCGACTATCGCGCTGCCTCTAACCCTCGGTCGTTCGCGTTTCACGAATCGCAGTCGGGCGCGTTATTCTCGCAGAGGCAAAAGCTCCGAACGAATGAATGGTAATGGGAGAAGAATTGCTACAATTGGAGCTTCCGCTACTCGATAACGTTTCTAACACTTACTACGTTCGTTTCCTTGACGAAAACACGAGTCACCGTGAATCACTTACTCCGCGCGGATAGATCTTCGTCCATTTCTCACCCCCCCGATCACTCCACTTTGCACAAAGCGAACCCCCTAATCGGGCCCGACGCGAAAGCGCACTAGTCACTCGCGCGATACTCGCGGAAAGAAACGCGTCTCTTTAATCATCCGCGAAAACGATACATCGTCGAAGCTACCCCTTCCGTCCGAGCGTCATAAATCTAAACGATATTCCACGTATGAGGAAAAAAAGAGACGGAGGAATCGAGCCACGGCACCAATTTTTCCATAAATTATTCCATACATTTTTCCATAAATTTCCCCGTAAATACCGAGCCCCGGGTGTACGCGAATATTTCTGCTCGCCGGAGACGATTTAATTAGGCCGCGTGTGCGTCGCCCTTGCAGCTCGCGAAGGGTTAACGCACGAGGCTCACCCCTGGCCGTGAGGGTTGCGAGTTTTCACGTAACACGGCCGACGACGAGGCTCGAAACAACGCGACCTTTCTCTCTTTGTCTCTGTCCCTCGGCACTCGAGATTGATACGGGCCGACGGATCACGAGATTAAAAGTCCTCGGGAAGAAAGTTGGTCTCGCTGCGAACTACCCTCCACCCCGGCCGCCTTTATTAAACTTGCTCGCCCGTTCTCCGGGAGGTAAACGAGGTTCAAACGTTTTTGAAACGTGACTCTGCGTAGTTTAAATTTAGATTGAACCACCGGTTCGCCGTGTCTCCTACTAGACGGGAATATTTCACGGGTCCATCGGTCTCTTTCCACCCTCTTCGACGGCGTGCCGCGATGTCTGAATAGTTTGCCTCGCGGCCCCGTTGGAAGCCGGTTCTTTAATTAGCCCTTTGTCCACGCGCACGGAAAAACGCTTTTCCTCATCGCGAGACGGAAACGCTCCTTTCAACGACATTCGCGTTTCACCGCGCGATTTCGAGCACGACGAGAGACTCGCGAACGGAAAGCCGTGCGCGCAATCTTTTCCGCTCGCGACCGGAACGGGGGTTGACTCGTCCTCGAGCCAGCATTCCTTCCAAAAATGATCGCAACGAACCCGCGGTATTCCTGCTCGGAGCAACGCGACCGCAGAATTCCCGAGATTCTCCAGTCTACTCGGTTGCAACCGCGAAAGGTACTTCACCCTGCGCTGTCTGCCGCAACACCGACACAACCATCGAAACCCGCGTCCCCTCGTCGATCAGTCCTTCCCTTCACCGACTCTACCTTTCTCGATCCCCGAAATCGAAATCGCACAACCGATCGAACAACTCCCATTCACAAACACCGGAACAACTGCCTACCAACGGTGTATAGAGAGATCCGCGTGCGTGGCTGGATCTGGACGAGTATTCTCGCTGCAATCGAGGTGTCGACACTCTCCAAAATTGATGCACGATTTTTCCGTAACTGGTCCTCGATATGAACAGGATTGACGATGGTGGTGGTGGTGGAGCGTGTGGACGAGGCGTTGGAAAAATTCGAGCTTGCCGGCAGCAGACGCTCGTGGAAAGCGTGCTGGCCCGCGACGCTTTTCACGCACGGTCCGCGGGACGGAG